ATTTTAAAGAGAATTTATTACTGAATTCAATACAAAACACAAAATTCAATTATTTGCAATACAATAAAGTTAAACGATAATAGTTATTAGATACTGATGATTGCAGTGAGTTATTAGTACTTAGTAGGGTACCCTTTATTTTTGATTACAGCTTCACATCGACGTTTCAATGAGCTGGCAAGAGTTTTAAGCTCTTCTTTCGTTATTACATGATGCCAGGAAACAATTATAACCTCAATTAGTTCCCTGTTACTTGATGGGCTCCTCACTCGGACAAGAGTTTTCAAACGGTGTCACAAATTTTCGATAGGATTGAGGTCAGGACCGTTTCCTGGCCATGACAACAATTTAATGTTCTTTGTACGAAACCATTCTTTCGATATTTTGGCTGTGTGGCAAGGAGCAGAATCCTGTTGAAAAATAAATGAAGCATTGTTGGAAAAGAGATCTCTGATGGAAGGTAGAAGTTTTGATTCTAGAATAGTGTCAATGTATTTTCTGGCATTCAGTGTCCCATCGATGACATGAAGGCGACCAATACCATCTGCTGACATGCATGACCAAATCATAACACTAACTGGGTTCTTCACAGTTGCTTGAATGCAGTCAGGATGTAGCTCTTCTCCTATTCTACGTCTTACATATTTTCGCCCATCACTACCGAATAACGATATCTTAGTTTCATCAATCCATATAACTTGTGACCACTGATCATCTGTCCAATGAATGTGTTCCTTTGCCCACTGTAGTCTTTTTTTCGTTGCTGAAAATTAAGATAAGGCCTTTTTTGTGGAATTCTATCTCTCAGTCCAACATCTGTTAATCTTCTCCTGATTGTTCTTGAACTGACAGAAACACCAGCATCATTCAGATCACTTCTGATGGCCGCTGATGACATTTTTCTATCTTGGAGACATAGTCTTTTTATTCTTCTGTCATCAATAGATGTGGTGCACCTTTTTCGGCCTTTTCCTTCTTTGTTTTTTATTTAATTTGTCTCCTGATATCGCAAACAAAACTTTCGGACTCCAGATGTAGTCACTGAACCACCCACCGGTCTTGCAATTTCAGCATAGGAAGGACCACTTTCTCGTAACACAATATTACATCTTTTTCTAGATGTCCAATCTACTCTTTTATTTGATGTCATTGCTTCTTCACTAAATATTAAAATTTTTTACAAAAATTCCTACTTGTAATTGCAGTGTATAAGAACAGGTCCTCCTTCTACAGAACAAAGTAAAATAATGAATTGTTTCAAGTGTAAACATGATGCCAGCTTCTACTGGCAGTTACTAACATTTGATTGGTTCTCAGAAAAAGAACAGTGATTAGCCAGGAAAGCTAGACATTACAAACCACTTCATAACTGTGTTTTTTATTTATATTAAAGTACATATAACTTTCTTTGTATTGCAAATAATTGAATTTTGTGTTTTGTATTGAATTCAGTAATAAATTCTCTTTAAAATGATATATACAAGTTTGCATTTTGCGAAACGTAACATTTTCTATAAGCATACAAAGTTCAAAAACATAAAAATTTCCAAAAGTGTCCACAATTTTGGCCACCACTGTAGATTAGATTGCATTCAAGCCCACGGTGTTACTGATTAACACTGAATGTACAGGCAGGTTAGCAAAACCAGCTGCTACTTTATCTTGTGACTTGTACACATATGCGTCTTCAGTAGCATAGCTAGATCTTGTCGCAAGAGGCAGTCTCTAATTTTGCCGAATTTACCGCTTGATATCGCCTACAAATAAATAACTGAAATAAATGTCAAAATGTCATAGGGAAATACAATTACATTATTTGCTTTTTTGGTTCTCAAAACCATCAGTGACATCGTAGAAATCTCTTTGATTGCTCCAGTTGCTCTAAAGTAGACATTATAGATTAGAAAAGAAGATAGAAAGATTTCTTACATTCAAAATAACATTTATAGTTCTAAAACACTTTCTAACGATTTTTATTTAGGAAACTCTTCTCGCAGTTAGCAACACTTACAGTAGTTGTGAAGAAAATTCGAAATAGTATTACAATATTTATATTTGAAATAGTATTATAATTGGAACTTTATTCTGTTGATTGTGTCTTAGAATAAATGGAAAAAATCCAAAAGGACCGTCTTTCCACGTTCCTGTTTCGTTTTCCCTAGCAGTAACGGAAATAAAATTCTCGAAATACTTCTCTTTTAACAAGGAATCAAAAACGCAAATTGCTGAGGCAGAAGATAAAAATCTGACAGCAGAAGAAGCATAAAATGGAAAATTATGCTGATGATTTGCATAAAGCTATGCAAAGTGAATATGAAGCACCTGTTAAAAATGATGCTTGAAAATTATTAAAACTACCAACACAAAAAACAAAAAGGTAACAAGATGCTTCTGGGTTCTTAGAAAAAAAATTGAATACATATGGAAAAGTTCAGAGAAAAGTTTCATTAGTTGCCAGAGCACAGGAACCTAAAATTGACTTCAATGAAACTTTTGCTTCAGTAGCCAGAGCAAGCTCTGTAAGGACCATAACTGCATACAGTGCTGAATAAGACTTTACTCTGTATCAACTAGATTTTGTAATGGTTTATGTTAATGGATTAAAAGAAGGAATTTTCATGGAATATGTTAAAGGTTTTGAAAACCAAAATAATCCTGACTATATGTATGCTTTGCAAAAGTCTCTCTATAGTTTCAGCAAAGTGGAAGGCAATGGTATGAAAAATTAGACAAAAAAATCAAAAATTTTGGATTGTAACCTTAATAATCAGATAAGTATGTTTACAAAATGGAAACATCTCATGATGAGTTAATTCTAATTTTATATGTAGATGAAATAACTGTGATTTATATGCTGAAAACATTAGCTTTCTAAAGAATTTCATTTTTAGATTTAGATTTTTCAAACTTCATTAAAGTAAATCATTGGCCCAATAAAATTAATGCTTGTGTGTGTATAAATATAATATCACTGCAATCTATACTTTACAATTAAATTTTGTCTTTACTGTTAGATTTTATTTTTTATGCAAACAATATCAACCACGAGTAAAGCTAGAAATTTATAATATGTAATAGGTACATATTAAAAAGCATAAGAAATGTTACCAATGGGATAAACATTAAAAAATCTTATTGCAAAATGTTACTAAGAAACACACAGTTTTTAAACAATGCACTTTATTTGTGCCGAATTTTAATTAGGTAAGATAAATGACTATCTTTAGCTTAGGTAACCCCCCCCAAAAAAAAATCCTATTTTGCCATTTTGCCAGAAAAGAAATATTTACATTTTGTATAATAAAAACAGTTATGTCTGATTTTGGGCATTAAAAAGTCTCTTTCTCATAGGAATCATGCCTATTCACCTATTGCATAAATATATAGGTCTGAATTGTGCAAGCATTTGTGCTCATGGTTATGATACACATGATAAGAATAAAATGAATGGAAACAGCATCATCTCTACATTTTTTTGTGTGAAAATATATATCATCATCAATAATCTGTCAGTACTATTAAAATAAAGTAATAACCTGCAAAATTAGTTCTTCTGTAACACTTTTATAATTTAATACTTTTCACCAAAGTCAGAGAAAATTTATTTTGCAAAAGAATATTTATTCATCTTTCTGAAGTTGTTCTTAAGACTGGACTACGTAAGAAAGGTTAGGTTTAAGAAAGACTTATTTAACTAAGTCTACTTTTGAAATAAAAACCTGTTATTCTTTTTACAGCAAAGGCATAGAAAACACCTGTCTTCAAATCCAGGAACTTGCACAGAAGTTCAAAATAAAAATAAGAAAATTTTGAATCAATTCCAGAATTAACTTCTAAAATTTGATTACACATTCGTGTATTTTTTAAAATATACAGATAAAATAAACCAATTTAGAAATGTTGCTTCATTAATTAATTTCATCTAGTACTGTCTTATCAATTTTCAACACTAGAAAACTATTTTCTTTTTCAATTAACCCTCTCAGAAATATGACTGCTTTTATTGGGTCATGAGATTGTCTATCACTTAGTGAAGTGGTCTTGAACTTAGTTGTGCCTAGGCCAAATACATAATCTGAAAACATTTGATGAGGCACTTTTTTTAAACAAAATAAAAAAGTATTTTACATAAAGTTTAAATTTCACTTACTAAATATTTATCAAAACATATATAAACAACAATAATAATAATATTGCAAAGTAAAAAATAATAATAAAAATAAATAAATAAATCAAATTTATATTTATTTTTTAACTGAAATCTGAAGTTTGGTTCTTGCAAAACATTTTTGTTTATTACACTGCATAATTCAAATATACTGACTGTTAAATATTAAATTTTTACTGAAATTCATTAAAAATAATTCTAAACAAAGCTCAATACTTGATGCTGCTTAAATTCTGATTTTACGGAAAAGAAATCACTAGATCCTTTTTTTTTTTTTATTATCTTTATCACAGATTGAACATGCTTATAAGTCAATTGGAGTCTTTTCTCATAATTTTTAATTGCAAAAAAAAAGCTATTCACCTATAACTGTATTCCTAAACACAGTGATTATTCTTAGTGTAAAAATTTGCAACTGAGTGTATGTATTTTTTTATAAATTAAAGTTAATAAAATCTGTATCTTCAGGTCTTTGAATGAGATTTACCTCAGATTGTAAATTAATTAGCTTATTTGCATATTTTTCTGGTGCATTATTCATGTTGTTGATAGTAATGAAGACAACATAAATTTGGACACAAATCTTGAAATAATTAAAATCTTTCCTTTGCAACAAATACACAATTGAAATGGTATTCTCAGGCCACCAGTTTGAGAATACCAAGTTGGAGTAACTTATTATTTAAAATATTTTTTTGTTCTTTAATGATTCAAATGTTATCCTAATAAATGGAAGTTTATAAAAACAAACAATAAAATAAATAATTATAAAAATCAAGCTAATAAATGTTGTTCAAAACAGTTTGAATAAGTAAACATGGAAAAAATAAAGTAAAATGAACAACAGTAATGCTACTTCTTTATTTATTTCATAGCTTTTCTTTTACATAATTAAATCTTCCATCCAAAAGGAAACATGAAAAACAAATGCTTTAGACCTCTACTGTTTCTGCAAGGGCCAAGCATAATTATTTTTAGAAAACTGCAAAAAGGGATGATCCATCTTCACATTGTGATAACTTCGTGTTAAAAAACACAAAGATTGTCGAGAACAATATCTAGCAACTCTGAATGACCTACTTCAAATTCTGACCTGAAGTACTGCCATCACATACAACAAACAACAGTCAATCTTAATCACACTTCTCCTAGAGGTACAAAACAGTCAATTGAAATTACAAAACATAAAGCAGAATTAGTGAACAAGAAAATAATACTAATTTCATGTCTGATGCAGTATTCTGTATATTCAATACTCTATTTATTTTGAAGCAAATGTTCATATAAAAATTAAATGCAAACTATATATATCTAGTAAGAAAATGCTCTTAAAGTCAATTCAGCAATGATTAAAATGGAGTCATATTATATCAGTTACATCCCCCCCACAAAAAAATTAATTTTATGAAAATAAAGTTTGATTTAATCACAATGTCAACATATAATACATTGAACATAAATCATGACATAATTTTGATGAATACTTTAAAAACCCTCTTTGACACTTAATTTTTTAAAAAGAAATTCAAAATAGTATAGTATACATATATTTTAAACATCTTAGATGACATCTTTGTTTCATTATTGTTGCCATTTATCTCTCTGAAGAACTACTCAGATAAAATAGATTATCTTGAATGATGATCATTATGAATGCAAAGTTATAGAACTCGAAATAAAGGTTTTTGAAAATTCTATCTCATGACATACATCATTTAATCATTAAATTATAACAGAAGGAGAGGTTGTATTACTCAAAATTGGAGGACGGGTTTAAAAAAATCATTAATTCTCTTTCCTCTCATTCCAAAGCAAAAGAAAATGAAATACCATTCTATTAATTTTTAATCTACATAGGATGTCCCCTTTTCTCTAAAAGCCCAATATTTTTGACAAGCTTATTTGCTTGCATATGAAATAAACATGTGTGAATATATAAATAATCACACTTTTATCTACAACTTTTTTCTTCTTTCCATCTGTCTTTTTCAGAAGCTTAAAAAAACATAAATTTAAATTCTGGATATCTTCTATAACTGAAACTGCTCCATTAAGAAACAACAATAGGGTTGTTTAGATATGTGAACTTCACAATACTAGAATTTCAAAAATTAATATTAAATTATAATATATATTATGAATACCAAAAAGAAAGTAATTGTTGCATGAAAATTTAACTATATTCAAAACCATTTGCTGAAATTGCACTGAACTCCAAGTTTACATATAACCAACGATTTAAAAAAAATCATTTGTATTCTGCTTAATTCATATACATTTAATAAAAATGATTAACATTAAAAAATAATAAAAAATATTAAATTTCGAGTTTTAATACTTTTCAAATACGTTTTCACTTAAGATACCTTTTTGTTAACTATTGGCAGATATAATTTTAGACTTTTTCATTTAAAATTAAATTTTCTAATAACTCAGGTGGAAAAAAAAGACATATTCATAGTTTATTTTTTTATGTATTCATACGAGCATTTTCCTACCTGGTAATTCATGACAAAAATTTTTTAAAAATATAACACTTCAATAAATATGAATGCTTCATATACATAAACATAAACCCAATTACAATGGCATCATAAAATATTACTGTAAAGCAAGTGAATTGAACACAGAACTGTAAAATAAATTAATTAAAGACAACTGGGGGGAACTAACATTGTGCTTATTTTAAGGTAACTGGGGAAAAAAAAAAAAAAGTTTATATTTAAGCAAAAAATCAAAAACTACTTCCAAAATGTATTTTCCATATATCTGAAAAATCATTCTACTATTTTTCTTGATATGAAAATAGTTCAGTTAGACAATCAACAGCAGTTTTGCTTAAAAATTCTATCCAAAATGAAACTGATCCAAAATATTAACAAGTCTTTGGGTCTACAAACTACACAGAGGGTAAAAGGGGACAGGAATTAAACAGCAATCACTGCAGCCAGCTACAGTTGCTAGAATTCAAAAAGAGTTCACTATGTGCCAGGACAAAAATGCTGACACCAAAATTTCAATAAAAACAGTTGTTCGGTTAAGCTTCTGGACAGAGTTCTGAGCTAGTTTCTTCAACCCTCATTGAGTTGATATTCCAACATGGCATCAAGTTGAGTTGATAAATTAGCCAACATATTCTCTATGTCAACTATCACATCAGTGGCACCTGAAGAGCTGAAAGAATAAACAAGAACATTTATTAATCTGATTTTTCATAAAATGAAATGATGTACTGGTAATAATTTACATTGCTGGGAATTAAAACTATAATAATATTAAGGACAAAGTACACAACACGACTAAATTTCTTTTATACATTATAATATAAATATGAATTCATTAAAATTTCAAGTGTGCTTACAAATGAAAGTTATTATGATCAGTATTAAATGTGGCTAGTCACCAGTTACAATAACCACTGCTATATAGCAAAGCTACATTAAAGGAATTTTGGATGACATTTTGATATACTGCTATGTGGGCAGCTGTAATCTGTGCCCAGATTCATCTTTTGTTAATGCTGATGACTTCTATTGTATTAATATGTGTGACATGACAGACAAAAAGCATCCAGATCTAGTGAAGTAGAAAGAATATGTGTAAGTAATGGACAAAGTAGAACTACAATCTGTTATTTTGTTAATCAAGTGTTGGATGTAGCGACAAAAATCTTCAGGTATCAAAGTCCAAAGCAGAAATCTCCCTGGCTCCTCCTTATTAGGATCATCACCATACAAAATGTCAAGATGAATACGTAATTTACTTTCATTTAATTAAAATTTAATAGTTAAAATGGTTTTGAAAACAAAATTCTTAAGATTAAAGAAAACACAACGTACATCAAGTATAAAAACTTATTTAAGAAAGCTTATTAATCTGCCATTTTTGATGATTTTAAAAAAAGGGTTTCCTCTTCTGTCAATAATGAAAGCAGATTTTTTTTTCCCCTGTGTGCAAGCCTCTGAAACATTTTTTATAGATTTATCAAAATTAATGTTTTTAGCTACTACATTCTGAATGGAAAGGATGGCAAAACTGTCAAAGTCTTACTTAGCTGATTGTTGATTGAAGATAGCTTTTAATCAGCTCAAACTTTGAAAAGTTTCTCTTCCAACAAGCAACTGAAACACACACTGGCAAAAAAAGTCTTTAGAGTAAAAGTTAGACACTGTTTTTGGAAGTCTATTTCCAAAATAAATTTCACTATTTTTTATGCGGACTAACTTTTATAGCTTTGTCTTACATGTAACTTTTATAGCTTTGTCTTACAGGTATAGCTTTGTCTTACAGGTCACTACATACAGGTACACACACTTAAAAACTTAAGGTTCTTTGGGTTCCATATTCATTAGTCAGTGATGGAATCCTAAGGATATGTGGGTCTGGGATCATTTGGAATGAAATTTAGAGAAAAATTTTATTAAATAATAAGTCACAGAAATCTTTCAAAAATATGTTATGTAAAATGTTATTTGCTATAAAAATTAAAAATTCAAGGAAAAGAACATGTAAAAATTTTACAAATAAAGTGCTTCAAAAAGGAAATGAAAGTTTGAAGATATTACTTTGTCCAACCAAGTTCAGTGAAGAGAAGCATTAAAAAAAAGAATCAATAATAAACTGAATCTGCCTAATGGTGAATACATAGACATATCTCTTATAACTATCATATTTCCTAATGAAAGGCATCTGTCCAATGAGAAGCCATGCCAGAGTAAAACGACTCTAAAAAAATCATTTTCATTGGATGACAACGTGTATTACATTCTCTCCAGTTCATAAAATAAATACTTAGCATCTTATAAACTCTGTGGGTCTCTATATGATCAAATTTTTTCTAGTTCTCAAGTTGTTAGGTCTCTAACAAGCAGGCTGATGAGCTTACATACTAACCTATCCTAATATACTATTGCATAAGCTGATCTGTATGCAGCTGAAGCTAATTAACAGTATTAGTCTAGCCAATGACAGCCAATATTTCAGCTAAGTTAAGGTGACCATCATGTACTAATAAGCATGTAATTGAAAATATCAATTAACAATTTCAGAACAATCATTAATTTTCTTTTTCTTTTTTCCAGAATGCACAATGGAACTGCTTGAACCCATGAATAATAGAACTTAGTTTGAATATATGGCTTTATCTGTCTGATTTAAAAAAACTTTAAATGTCTCAATAATACTGATCTATTAAATGAAGTCTGAACAATATTATTAAATGATTATGTTATTATTAAAATTCTAAAAGTTTCAATTAATCAGTAAATTGGCTTTAGGGAAAAAAAAACCTCCTTTCCTAATGAAGTTACTTTGCATGATTGATAGCAGAACATTCTATCCTGTCGGCATCCTCATGAAACACCTACACAGATTTGGATTAGCAGACTCTTCATCTTGCCCATTATGTGATACTGATGACATGTGCAGTGACTATTTGGTCACTTGTTCTGTATTTGACTTCGTGTCAAAAATTATTGTACTTTTTCTAATGCTTCTGAATTATATTGGGTTGCACGTCACAGACTAATGGCAGTCATGCCTAAGTCTGCCGTACGATTTGGGGGGGGGGAGAACAGATTACCACACGTGTTACACTACACTTAACATAATGCACTCAAGTTTTACATTTTCCATTCTTTTAAAGAATCTACTTCAATTTGCTTTTCTATACTTTCTCAGCTTAATTGTAAAAAACTGGGAGGGGGACCCTTAATAAATGCTCTATTAAAATAACAAGTCAAAATAGCCATTTGAATACTCAGAATTCAAGCAAACATATTTGATTACCCATCAGATAAAATTATAGTAATTCACTGTGTATATTTACTTTAAAAACTAAACATAGAGATGGAAACTTAAATACACAGGATGTGGAATGATTCAGAAAACAAATAATTTTTTTTATAAGCTAGTAACTTTTCATAAGCAAAATAAACAAATTACTCACTGTTCCATGGCACGACTTCCACTTTCTTTAACCGTTTTTTCTGTTCCACTACTCCTTTTACCAGCCATGCTTTGCACAGGAGCTGCAAATTAGTTCAGAATTTTAATTTTATCTCAGAAGCCACCAATATAATTCTGCATATATAAGGCACAATTATTAATATCTGACAAACTTTGGAAATTCTAAATTTTTTAACACTCCTAGCCCTCTAAAAATTGCTCATTAAGTGTACAACCAATATTACAAAGTTTTAAATTCTATACAGACACAAATTTCTTGATATTCCTCAAAAGAACCTATTATAGAAACTAAAATTAGGCATTAACAAAATAAATAAATCATTCACATGTATCAATATTCACAAAATTCACATACTGTGTAACAGCATTTAAAAAAAAATTAACTTGCTGCTCCCCAAATGAGAACTGAAATCAAAATTATTTGATGCTATAAATATGATGACGCACAAGGATTCTTTTTATTCATCAGAATTGTGACACCAATAACAGAAGCTGTTATTTTAATAGTTTCCAGTTACGACAGGACTTGTTTAATGCACCATTCTGTTAAACAAAGAACTAATAATAATTGCTTTTTGAAATGATGCCATTTCTAAGAAATTTACTGCACCTAATATGAAATTTACGAAATTTAATACTGCAACAAAAATTATAAACATTAGTTAAAAACCATTCTATACAGTGGTTAGTACAACTAAGTGGAATATAGTTAAGTAGTAAGTTAGTAGAGCTAAGTGAATAGTATCAAGGTTAATACTACTAGCAGAACTAAGCAATTCTGAAAACAAGCATGTGAGCTCCATTCTCAAATAAAACTTGGTTCCTTAATATCAAATTAATATATAGCAAGAATTTAATAGTACACAGTATGTATCTTTCTCACTGCTCTATTTCTTACCACATGGTTCAAAAATCCTTAGAAATGGTATTATATTACTAACAATAAGTAATTTGGGAAAGTAATAAGATTCTGAAAATGCACTTACAATGCATAAAGCATGATTTTTATTTGATATATTGCAATAATCTGTGTTATGTAATTTCTTTTTCACTGGATAGATAATGAAATTTGATAGCCCACTGCAAAACAGCTTCCTATCACCTGGTTTATTGTACTGTGTCTCCCTACCACCCTCGCAGGTACAATATTTGGTTCTCTACTGTGATGTACCCTAGGTAATATTCAAAGTGATAAAATAGCTAAACGAACCACTTCCAAAAATTCTCTTTAGCATTAAATCTGATAGTTAGGGTTAAATTAATGCAGTTAATATTGGTAAATGCTATAACTACAATCACACTTCTTATGGCAATTATTTCCCATACACAAACACTTCTGAAAATGATGAATATTCTTGAGAACTTAAATGAAACCTGATAATTAATAACTTTATTTCTCTAAGGAGAATAGCTACATTGAAATCTAAAATAACATAAAACTGTAAATGGTCTCTCTCAGGAAAGATTGCTGCATTTAAGATTTCTAGCAATAAAATTTCATTATAATAAATTTTAGAACAAAGAAGAACAAAGATTAAGGTAAATTCCTTTGAAGATGAGAAATTTTTATTAGTTACTATTTAAGGAATTATACCAGTTCACTGGTTTCAATTTAGAGCATGAATGTTATGTTATTTTAAAAGGTTATGCGTCTCTTTTAATTTCCCTGAATTTTTTAGGAGAAAATCTTCGGTATTTTTAATTTTCCTACCTCTTTAGTATAGGGGGGAGGGGGGGAAACACATTTTAAATTGTCTTCTTACTTATAATTTTCTAATGTTTCTTATCAGCTTATGAATGAACTACATGCACAGAATGCACAATATCTCAGGTAACATAGATACAATTGAAACAACTCACAAAATGATATTTGCAAAATTTGCAAATCAAGTTTTAATTTATTAACAAACTAATTCTCAGAATAAACATGCCTTTAAATATTTCTCAGAATCTGTCATTTTAATTCAGAATATAAAGCCAATATTAAACCTCGATAATGAAAGTGAAGATTTCCCTGATGAAAAAATTTAATACAGCCCTATTTATCTTTTAATCTTACTTTTTAATATATCATAACCTTATCTATCTGAACTAGTTGGAGCAGAGATATTTTGGGTAAAATGTAATCAAATAAAATGTAATAACTACTTTTGGTAGTAAAATGCAGAAACAAATAGTTATGCAAAAATGTGTATTTCATTAATTCAGATGAATTTCACACTCATTGGTTCAATGTTACTTTTTCCCATAATTTTGGTTAAGCAGAATTCCAGTTAACTGAAATTTGGTTATACAGGGTTTCAGTCTTTGGCCAAAATTACAAAAGCCATCATACAAATATTATGCTTGCAAATAAAGAAGCACACAGAAGATTTAAATTTAATCGAGCTCGTGATTAAATATATGAAATTCTACTTCATCAAATGATAAACATTGGAGAAACAACTCTATTATTTTTCAGTGTCTTTCTTTATTCGATCCTATGATTATGGTTGCATAAAGTTTAGAGACTGCATAGCATATGCAATATGTATAATTTTCAAAGAAGTAATCTGTTTTAAAGTAAATGTGGAAGACTTTTATTCAACGGCAGATATTCATAATAATACTGGGTAGCAAATATTGCCTAAACTTTATGCTAATGCAGAAATATAAAATTTAATATGACTTACTTAACATTTCCAAACTCAAATAAAAAATATATCTAATAATAGCAATTTGCCTATGAAAATAACAGATTTAAACAAAAAATTGTACCTTGACTTGATGGTAAGCTAGACTTCCTGAGAGTAGATGAAGGGGAAGCAGCAGGTGAACTCTCACTAGTTGCAGTTTTTATAGCTCGTTGCTTGATAGTCCCTACATTTTCATTAGCAAATGGTAAAGAATTAGATTCTGTACTGGAAGTTGAAATGTTAGAATCAGCAGAGTCTTTCCTTCTCTGTCGGAACTTAGAACGTGGGGATTCGCCAGGTAAATCTTTGGCACAAACATTATCCTCTTTGGATAATGAAGAAGAGTCTGTTAGGTCCATAACAGAAGACAGTGGGGAAGGTGGTGGAGGAAAGTCTTCAGTAAGTGCTGGAGATACAGACCTCTCAGAATCTGTAGGAGGTGGGGGAAGTTCTGTACTACCCATTACAAAACGTGATGCCAATCCTTTGACACATGTAGCAAATGCTTCATCTTTCATTGCTTCAATACTGCGTTCATTTTTGATTGAATTTGTTCTTTTTGGAGGAGGTGGAGGATTACGCTTCCCCCTTAATGTTCCATAAAGTTGAGAAGAGTTCATATTGGACCAAGTATGTTGAGGAGACCAACTGTCAATTACTTGGTTAGCTATTTTAAGACTTTTTGGATCATCATCAATGTCATAATTTATTTCAGGATCTGACTGTCTACTTTTTGCTGTGATTTTAGCTACAGGTCTTGGTTTAACCATTCCCTTTGGTCTGTTGAGTGTGGCCGTGCCACCAGATTCATAGGAAGAATAATGATCATGAACACTAAGCTCACTATCTGTATCATATCCATTATGCCTCCAAGCACTAACAGTGTCATACCAGCAATCAGAGTTTGCATAATATGGTGGATTCATCACAGTAGAAACAGAGTCATCCATGTCCAAGCTCTCAAGAGACCGGCCTCGGCTAGTTGACCGAACCTGTGCAATAACACATCCATCAGAATCGAGATTAATGTATAAAAACATGTTACAATATTTAAATATAAAGATATGAAGGATATCACAGCTTAAAAATCTACTTAAATATTTAAAACTTTACAGATTCATGAAATGTAAATTTTCAACAGGTAAAAAAAATTCCTTATTATAAAGGGGTGATGTTATATGATTTGAAATTTTGAAAAGACTAATGAATTAAATAAATATTTAATAATGATCAAAGAAAAATACTGAAAAAATAATTAGTTTAAGCTCGTACTCCTCCAAGAGATGTTCTAGATCTTTTAAGCAACTTCTAGCGAGAATATAAAGCAATAAAACAGCTGACTTATGAGCAAAAATAGATTATTATGACATGAATTTCTTCTGTATTTCATTTAAGAAAAGTTAATATAAATGAAATTTGTATTAAAAACCTGAAAAAATTTATTTTTACCTGGGTTCCCTAAAGTAAAAGATGGATGGGCAAGGGGGGAGGAAGAGAAAAGTAAAGTAAGTAGGCATTTTTAAAAAACTAAAATAACAACAATCAAATCTCTTCTCAATCAAATCTTTTTTTTAATTTGGTTACTGTACTTTTCTTTTACAATGCACATGAGATTGAAATTTAATTTAAGTTATTTATTGATAACTATTCTTCATAGACAAACTATTTTTAATTTTAAACTTATAAAAAATACCTCAACTTACTATGTGATAAAAACACACCCTGATAAATAAATTATATAAAGTAAAATTTCAATAAACATTTAAATTTTGCTACAGGGCAATAATGAATGAAATATTTTGAGAATGAAGAAAGATATATATCTATTGATTGATATGAACAATAGTAATAGCATAAAATTTTCTTTAATCTCATAGAAGTTTCTATAAAAATATATATATATATAAATTTTTAGCAGACTTTCTTGTTTGTCTACATTGAACAAGCTAATTATGACATTTTAATGGTTCATAAATTAATTTAATAAACACTAATACATACAGCTATTTTGGCAGATGAATGAGTGAAAATTAGTACCCATTATTCCCTTCAAAAACCCAAATATGAAATTATACTTCAACGAATGTTTATTTATATTTAAATTACACGAATAAAACTAAACTACTGCTCTCTCAAAATGTATAAGCAGAACATAATTTTTTAAGAAAATAAAATAAAATTGGATTCTTAAAAGGTGGGAAGGGAAAAAAGAAAGAAAGAGTTCAACACTTTACACCAAAATTTTATGTAAGACAGACCTGATGGAAATATCTAAAATTACAAATGCTACAACTTTGAATGAAAACTAAGCTGATGTTGGCTACATTAATCTAATGATCAAAAATGGATATTTTATTTACTACCAATAGCTAAAACATAAAAAATGACAAAATATTTTCTAAATTTTAAATATGGAAAGCCTGAAAGTAAATGCCTTCTTGACTTGATTAAAAAAATCATTTATGATTCTTTGAAAAGTTTACCACAGAAATATTGCTGCAATGATGCACAACTATCTTCAAAGAAAGGGGAAAGATAATGAAGAAAAATCATTTGAAACACACTAGGTATTACTTTTAGTTTAAAATGTGGTCGACAGATGGCAGCACCAATATCAACATGCTACTATGATAATCATTTACTGTCAGAAGACCAGCCAGCATAAAGTGCAGTTACTGGCTCTATTAAAAAAGCAAGAAGATTAAGATTAAAACCATCCAGGAAAAGTATTTCCTTGCCCTTAATATCATTGACATGATTTCTGGAGTAGAATTTCAAATTTTTACTTCTTTGTAAGATGAACTCTCTTTTGGGACATTTAACAGACTTTTCTTCCCATCACCTCAGATTTCTCTTAGACAACTTATCTGATAAATTTTCTATGAGATTGTGCTCAAGATGCATTATTTTAACGAGCTGGTCAAGTCGCATTTTTGTGATATTTTCAGCATTTACCTGACCTGATTTGTGCTCTCACTTTCTTCCTGGCATGGCAGTGTGATGGAATGTTTTCTCGTTCATCCCTGCCAGTCATTCATTCATGTCAGAGTTTTGGAACATTTCAGAAAATAATATCCTAGCACAACATGGTGTTATATACCAGTATGATTTGAGATACATGTAGATTTGACTTCCTACATGTATCTTCTACTCAAAATGAGTCAAAGATGAGTCACACACACTTGGATTTTGATTACATAAATATAAGGCAAAAGGTATGTTCTGAACTCCTGACAGCTCTCTATATATCTCTCTCTATCTATATCTATCTGAACTCGACAGCTCTCTCTGTCCTGACAGCGCTATATTTTTTAATGAATGTTATAGGATATTATGCACTATGGTATTTATGATAAATGTTATGGGAGATAAACTTATTATTATTATTTATTGCTAGAGCATTTGACATTTGGGTTTGCAGTCTAATTTCTAATAGAGAATTATACCTTGTGCATGTGAAATGTTTCTGTTTTGAGCATTAAAGAGTCAAAGCTTTCAAAATTTTTAACAAAATTCTAAATTAGATTAGACCTGTAACTTTTTGTTTATACAGTAACACGTTGTTTATACAGGAAAAGAAATTTTAAGATTATACAACTGTTAAATGGAGAAACAACTGTTATATCCCTACTTGAAGAGCATTCTGGTCAAGAATACTACTTATATATTGATAGCTTTTTCATGTCTGCATCAGTGGTGGATGAAATCAGACTTGGAGAGCCTATACTTGTGGGACTGTAATGAAGAGAAGGAAAGAAATGACTGAAAATTATTTTCCACACAAAATGAAAATTGGTGAGATTTTGGTTCTGCAGAAAGAAAACCTAAATTTAACTGCTTTCAGTGATAGATAGCGAGTACTTTCTTCAAATGAAAGTTCTAAGAAAGTGCAATGGTGATGCCTCGTTTCTTCACACTAATGTAATCTTCCTACAAGGCAAATGATCTATTACAAATGTGAGGATTGTAGCATAAGACTGCGTGTAGATCCCTGCTTTGAAATTTGCCACACTAAAAATGAATTTTATTAAGTAAAATGATTATTGTCAATTGTATAATGTCAGAAGTCACTAATTGGGGAGTAAATGCTGAAAAAAAAATTAAGGTGCAAAATAAACATATTTAACACGTTGGCTGCCACATGCATTTGGTGTGGTTTTCCCATGACGCCAACTTGAAATTTTTATTATTAGATCTATACAAAATCATAATGCGACATTTGATACATACTAGGCAAGCATATGAAACCATTTACTGATGCAGAAGTAATGAAAGACTGCTTCGTCAAAGCTTCTTAGGCATTATTTGATAAATTTAGTGATAATAATAAAATAACTTCGTAAATTAAAAAAATACAGCTCTCTGATTCTACTCATAATAGGAACATTGGAAATATTGCAATACACATTTCTGATCAAATTACAGAAGATCATATTTCAGTATTATATAGATCACATATATACATATATTACATAGATCATATTTTAGTTTGACATTTAATTCTAGCACCAACACAAGATTACAGTGCTCCAGTTTCATTAGATTACAGTGCACTAAGATTACAGTGCTCCAGTTTCATTAGATATTGTAATGAGCAAAATTTAATTCATGAAGATATTTTGAAATTTTTCCTTGAAAAATCAGACCAGCGACAAAGGTTTTCATGATATTATTAGTACATTTCTAGAAAAGAATTATATTGTAATAAAGAAACTTCTGACTCCAAAGATGGGTATTCATTAATGATGGAATCAGAAAATAGATTTATTTATTTAGTAAACAAAAATATGATCTCTATGCCTGAATTAGATGTCACAATGGAAGTTGTAATAAATAAAGCAAATTTTATTGGTTGACAAGAAATGAACATCACAAATTTAAAAATTTGTTAGAAGAAATTAATAATAATTATAGTGATATTCTTTAGCATACCTCGAGGTGATAATTAAGGAGGAGAAAAGTTCCAGGTTGGTTTATTTTATGATATTAAATTATTATGCTTTTTTATGCTAAAAAATGACTTTCTTTTAACAAAAACAATAAAGTTTATAGTGAAGTTAAAAAAGGATGGGTAGTGATGACTTTTTTCTGCACAATATCACAGAAAAAAATAAAACTCTTAATCATGGCGCCTACAGAGTGAAAATAAATTATTTCGCAGATGGCAAACAAAATATTTGCTTTTGAAGAACTAAATATTTATTATGAACTAATACAGTACAAAGTTTGGGATCTGAAATCATCAGGGCATTGGCAATTCTGGATTTTGGCCATTTTCAGATTTTAAATCATTAGTTTAAATCCACTAAGATGGCAACATTGGGACTTCACTGATTGTTTAGGTCAGAAGGCTTTACAACTACTCAAAGGATAGTGACCACAGCCAATGTTAATACAGAGTCAATCAATGTATGGCAATGGTGTGATTCTCTAGGCAGCAGATGTTCGAAAGCAACATGCAAGAATCTCAGTTAGGAAGGAAAACACTGCATTTATGGCACACCTCCTTCTTTTTATTTAGTATTATATTCTCTATTCCTAGACTTTAAAATGGTTTTTGTTTTTGTTGTTGTGTAAATGTGCATGTTAGTGATCATGATATATGTACGCTGGTGATAATTTTCCAGCCATTCTAAAACATGTACGAGATATTCACTCTTCAGGTGGTATCAGATATCTCCAAGCTATAAGACAAACCCATAAAGTAATTGGACAATATCTTACAAATAAGAAAAAGATTATGCATAAAAGCACTGAAAATAACCAGGGTCTAAAGAAAGAAGAGCTGAATCAACAGACCAAAAGTATGGCAACTGGCAAGAACAAGACTGAACTCCAGTTTTGAGCATTCAAGTTCTTAACCAAAAGTAAGTTGAAAATCTTAAATACATGTTAAAATAAAGAGCAACTTTAAAACACACCAAAATTAAAAGCCACTTAAAGTGGAATAGTTAGGAAAGAGTGAAAGAGAATGAGGGGGACGATTCTGTGAATATATGTATGACACCATCATGTTTTTAATATAAGAAATGCTTATGCAGAGAATATTTTCATACACAAATAAAAATAATGGTTTATATAAATAAGATAAAAATAATAACTTACACTTAAACATTTTCATAAAATACTACTCTATATAATAGCTCCACAGGAACTTCCTTTGTTCAATACAATATTTTTCAAGAAAATAAAAAGTCATGTTAACACAAAACTGGATCTTAAAACTTTATAATTCAGCAAATACCTGAATGGTAACTACATTTGGCTGATATAGGTTGCTATGGTGGGACGGAGAATTGCAGTCATGACTGCTGATATAATGTTGAAATAGATCATCTTTGGGTGGAGACTGTTGGAATGTTTTAAATTCTAAGCTGCCATCATTTGAAGATGGTGACATTCTCGAACGTGTAGTTGTGATGGCTATTTCTTGACTATGATACGAATAAGGAGGCACATTACCTGCAAAAATAAATATAACATTTTACTTACAAGACACATATTTCATAGCAAATGAGCACATCTTTTAACTCTCTGAGTGGCACAGCTTTTGGAAACTTTAATGAACTATACTTAAAATCATAATCTAGAATTATATAATTACTCATTTTATTGTTTTCATAATCTTCAGTTCATTAGGGTAATATTTATATCATAGAAGACTATAAGAAAACAAAATATTTTAAATAACAAATTAATATATAATTAGTTGCAGAAAATTTCACGACTGGGTAAATAAAAATGGTCATGCTGCTCACACAGTTGCTTAACAGCATAATGAAATAACCGTGAAACTTATTACAGCTATACATTGTTTTAAAGTGCTAAGATAACATGCTGAGATGTTATCATTATGAAAAAAACAAAAATTAAAGCATGCAAAATACGCTAAATTTACTAAATTTAATTTGATTTATAAAATAAACAATACATTTACTAAAATTAAAAACTGACTAATTGAAATCTAGTTCAGCACAGAATACAAATTAGCATAAAAAATTAAAATGTGACATCTATAAATTTTTCATTAACCATTAGGAATATACATCTGTACTTGATAAGCCCAAACAAAAAAACCATATATGCACATTCTTCCAAGTTTGTAAATAAATATACACAAAGTCTCTGTAAAATTATTTGTAGTGTTTCATATAAATTTAGATACATATGAATATTACATAACACGAATACTTTTAAACTGTTGTATGTATAAATAAACACTAAAGGAAGATTTTAAAGAAATGCTGATAATTTTCTCCTAAGTTTTAAATAATGCTTAAATTGATCTTCATAAGGAAAAGAGAGTATATCTTAAGATTACATTTCTCTATTTTTTAAAAATAATTCTTGTACTTTTTTTTTTTTTTTTTGATATATATCCCACTCTGTGTAACAAAATTGAAATTGGTGGTAATTTTATTCAGTATGAAAAGATAAACAGCTGATACTATATAGAACTCAACATTCATCAATCCTACTAACTTAGCTCACTCTAAAAACAGTATCCCATTTCATTCAATCTAATAATTAATCCATCTAGGTTAACACAATCATTTTTTATAAGACTGCTCACTCTGTTTATTTAAACACCCTCACTCAAAGTACAACAGTTCCTAAAGCCTTCATCATCCTACTGAGCCTTCTTTCACTCTCATTTCTCTACTCTCAGTTTCGCTTTACTACATTTTAAACACCTCTGTAACATTTCTGACAGTTCTCCATGAAGATATATTTAATTTTACATTTAAAGTTTTACAAGATTATTACATATGTACAAAGAAAAGCTTTCACAATCTTAAAAATAAAGAAAAACAGGCCAGTTATATTAAACAAAATATCAGCAAATCAAAACACAAACTTCCAGGACACATTCGCTAAAAATAAAAGGAAAATGAAACATTATCTCCAGCTCAGCAAAAACAAACTTCTGCAAACATTTCAGTACAAAAATATTCCTCTCCTGCATATTGCTACAATGGAATACATTTTGTTTTCATATTTATTATTCAATATAAGAACCTTTACATTCTACTAGCAACTATTTTCAGGATGCCAAATAATTTAGAATACAAAATGAAAATTATTCACTGCATTATCTTCTGTTTTAAAAGAACAATTAGATAATCAGGTAACCATATTCTTGACATGGATGCATTCAAATAAATAAAAAAGAGCAACTATAACTAAATGACTAAGGTCATTAGCCTCCTAAATGCCTTTACCATGATTTTCACATGCAGCATGAAAGTAATAAATCACTCATCTTATTATTTTTTGAGGTATGCAATTTTCTACTCTATTTAAAAGTGCATCTTGCTTTTCTAATCATTGATAAGACATTTTTGATAATATTTAGACTTTTAGTCATGTTTTGATCTGCAGATGGCAATATTATTGCCTAAATTTTCATATTAGCATGGAGTTCATTAACTGTTTTTGCAAGTACTTTCACTGTTATTGTTTTCCTTTTTTATAATGAGAATATGGCTTGGACGAAACATTCAGCGCATGATAGAGCATATGTTCCTTATGATATTTCTGATACTGAAAGTGATGTTTAATTATTTTGAAGATAGTAATAGCAAAACAGATTATTATTTCTTGAACTCATCTCTTGATAGTGATGAATCTGAAAATGATTCAGTAACCATCCAAAATGTTTAGACCTCCACAATCTCTGTGGAATGCCTATTACTTTACAAAAAAGAAAAACCCACTGCAAAAATTAAAAAAGCTTCTGAAGCTCTGTATGCAAATGATTGAGAAAAGTATCCAAAAATATTCAATTGGAGATACATGTGGTACACCAGGAAGATCTAGTTCCATTTTTTTAAAATTGACAGCTTATCCTTTTGCAAGCCACATGCCTCCCAATCCATTAAAAAGAGAGGGGGGAACACTCTGAGATTGGGGAGGGTAGAACTTGCAAAGAAGCATAAATTTGGTGCGAAGTAGGACAAAGTAGGAAACTTTGTTTTGAAATTTACCACACTAAATTTAACTTCTAGTGTAATTTGTGTAAATATTGAATATTTCCATTAATACACACTTGTATTCCATTAAGTAAATCACAATTTAACTAAGATTTTTTTTCAGAATGTTTGTCCTTATATGATTACTCTTAAAATTGATTTTTATGAAAGCCTGTTATTAAAAAAATCTTGATCACAAAAATGTGCTACATATTTTAACTCTCAAACACATATAGATTTGAAATACGCAATAAAAATATGCGATTTTTGAAGCAATTCTGATAAAAATATTGAGCAGTCAGAAGGTTAATCTTTCACACCACAAAAATTAATTAAATGGCTAAAGTTGTCTACAGTACAGAATGTGTTAACAGAAAAATTCATTTATCAGTATATACAAATACAGAGACTAAGAAAACACATGTAACTGTTCGCTGATGCAATATCACTGTCTTTCCTGTTTGCATAGGAACAATCTTCAGTTACTGTGCAATTATATGAATTAAGCAAGAGCATCATTTAGTTATAAAAGATATCCTGAATGAAAAATCTTAACCAGACAACAAATTAAATCACTGTATTTCTAAAATTCCGTAAATACTGAGTTTTAGTATTAGAGTAACAAAGGCATATAATGATGAACAAGAAAATTTTAACTAAACTTGAAGTTCATTGGAGAAAGTATGTGAGGACAGCATTAATTATGGCTTCACAGCCATCACATTTTGTTGTAAGTGTTCGCTAAGTTATAAGGGTTATTAGACCAATTCAATGCTTAATACATAATTTAAGCTTCCAGAGTTGTAGATCTAAGTGAGTATTACTAATACAAGCTGAAAACTTGTAAGACTTTGGTATCTGGCCTGAGTGTGCAAACACTGATGATCCATGCATAAATTTAGAAACATATAAGCTGATCAGACACTTACACTTTCATTTTAGTCAAACAAATGGCCCTACTGTGGTGAAAGTCCAATAAAGTAATCCATGGTAAATAAGTAAATGATAACAGCAATAAAGTAAAGTGTGTACAAACACTGATAATCCATGTATGAATTTAGAAACATATAACCAGATCAGACAATTTCAGTTCAGTCAAATAAATGGTATAGTGTGGTGAGAACCCAATAAAGTAACTCCTGGTAAAACTGCATGATAACAGCAATAAAGTAACATCAAATAAGCATGGTTAATAAATGTTTCAAGCTCAGCAATTATATGGTGCTTTCTTCAGCTGGTGCAGATAACAACTGATATACCAAAAGACTTCTTTTAATAGGTTGGGTTCAGGGCTGGCACCAGAGCCAATGTGGTCGCGCTGGTAAGCAGAATTAGGAAATGCCATTTTTTTTGTTTGTTTTGTTTTTAAATTTTAGAAAAGAATCCCACTGCAAAAAAGAGGGATGGCAAAAGGCACCAGGCAGCAAGATTTTGGATCTGCAGAGATTGCACCAGACAGCAGTCCTGGTGGGTTCTATTTATGATCATTTTCATCTTTTATTAAAAAAATAGCATTCTAATGAAATACTGCACCTCCAGATAGATCCTTATAATTAGCCAAGAAACTATTGTATGATTTTTTTAATAACTTAAATTGTCCTTCTAGTTACTCAAACATCAATGTTATGAATAAGTATAAGGATGCAGCTAAAAAAATTCTTTTTCAACATTCTAATACACCAGTAGAGAGCTAAACAGAACGATGGAGAGCTATTCGATTAAAATCATATTTTTCTAGAATTTAAAACATTTTGTAGAACAATGATGTATGTATGTATTTAAAACATCAAAATGCCAGGCTATATATTAATAAATAAGTGCCATTAAAACTTTCAAAGATTTTCATAATCTTCTTAAAAATAAAACAGCACAAAGGCACAAAATAAAAGTAAACAAGGAAATTTACAGAAACTTACTTAAAGTAGTTGGCCGTGAAAGTGTATTTAAACAGCTACCAGTTATTTCATTTGATTCTGGTATATGGCTAGAACGTTTAATGCCATTGGAAATATCTTTTACTCTCTTGATTGCTAAAGTAATTTTCTTCTGGTGACCTAAGCAGAAATAATAATAATAAGGAGAAAACATTAAGTTTCATATAAAATTAGTAGTTAAATAAATGTAAATGATTCCATATTACATAAAAACAGAAAATTAGATGTTTTCACTGAGCACAGGCTCTCATTTACATCTTATATTAGGGAAACCACAAAAATTGCAAGATGCAAGTTCACTCGTGTGGTCAATCTACCAGTGTTCAGTGACTTTACTCCTCATCTACTGGTGGCCATTTCAGGACAGAAATATTAATGGAAACTGATTCGTTTTTACATTATGCAATGAGAAAACTCAAAATTATACCTTGAAAATGTACATGGGGATTTTTCAGAATAAATATATAACTAAACTATCAGACACTGTTCAGTTTCAGAGCCCTTATAAAAAGAATGTTTAAAAATAAAATCTTATATACAAAATAAATACAAAACTTTTGTACAAATGAAAACTTTCAGCAAAAGAATTTTTTTCTTCATTTCCCTTTTAAAGTTTAGTTTAAATTTTACTTTTAGTTAACTTATTTTAGTTCCCTTTAAGTGACTTTTATGCTTCTTAAACATAGTATATTAATTACTATATTAAATAAGGGAACAAGAATGTCCCAGTATTGCTGCTGAGGTGAATGTGAGGAGTTCATGCTGTTTGCTACATTGGGGGCTAAAATGAACTGCTAGAAAACCTCAGATTTAAACATATAAGTTTTCTGATGGAATGTGAAATAAAATTTATTTAGAAAAAATAATGCATTCTGTAAGATAAATCATTAGTTATTTAAAGAATAAATATCCCAAACCAATACTAAGAAAGGAGAAAAAAAACTTTTTTAACTCAAAATTAAAATATTACTCACTTACAAAATATTGTCAACTACATTAACACATTTCTCATTCTCCTTACTTGAAAAGGAACAAAATGAAAGATAAAAACAAAAAGATAGAGATAAAAAAAAGGAGATGTTAATTACTTTATATATATATGGGATGCACAAGAAGAGAAATATTTCTTCATTGAATGAAGTGCAAGTTATTATAAGATGTTTCTACTAAATTTATAACATAATATGGTTTTACAACTTCAATTATTCAAAATATTTTGTCTACAAAATGATGGGTAAAAAGGGAAGACAAAAATTAATATGATCAAATGAATTGTCTCATAAATTATTTGCTAATATCAAATATAACTGGTGTATGAATCTTAATATTTAATTACAATAAAATACTGGATTATTTCTTTTAGATATCAATGATACTATGAACTTACAAGGTAAAACTATCTAATATTTAATTATGTTATAAATGGTGAGACATTCTGAAAATACTTCCATAAAATACTGATGTCGGAAAGAATTGCACAAATTAAAATTAAACTGCTTTGTGGGTTTAGTTACTCCATCCCTGAACAATAACCCAGAACCCAAAGGAGGTGTAACCAATGAAGCAGGTTTACGGGTGACAAAAATTTTAGAACTTAGGGAAGCAAACTTTATGGATGGCAAAATTTTTAGAATTTAGAGCAGCAAAATTTTTACAATTTAAAGAAGCAATGGGCAGCAAAATCCAGGACCCACAGAGATTGCAGGAGCAGCAAAATGCTTAGCACTTGCCCTGGGACCACTTGTTATTGTAATTAATAAGAGGAATATTGTAATTGTTATATATTTTTGTTTGTTAATTTTTAGGTATACTTCCTTAGGCAGGAGATGATCTTTTGGCCATCACCTGCCACACTAAGTGTGTACTGGCATGTATGTTTGTCATCTATAAACTAGTCTTATAATTAGAAATTGTTTACAATTACAAAACTACCTGAAATGCTTTGTAGGTGCAAAACAGAAAAATAACAATTTTCATTCATGTGTTTAAATCTATTTTTTTTTTTTTTTTTTTACTTTTTGTATTTGATATTCAAATTACTACAGAGAAAAAAAGATTTTCTGAAGAGATCTGGAATTAATTAATTATATCAGAAATAAAATACTTTAAGTTAGTGATAGCTTAAATTCAAATAATGATGTCTACAACTATTATACAAATAATGATCATTGTATCCATTACTTACATACAAAATACCTATCAATAGGTTTGTTTCAGAAATTAGTCTTCAGTTACACCATAATCATCAATTTTACTTGCTTGTTACTCTTTTGTTATTGGGACTGGATTCAGAAATGTATGCATGTATGTATGTGCAAATATATGTGTGTGTACACACATACATACAACCATATATACATAATTATAATTAAAGAGAATATTCCTATTAAAATTCTTATATTTCAAATTAAATTAAGAAAGCTAAGGCAGTAAAAGAATAACAATTTGAAGTCTAAATAAATTCCAATTTACAAATTCGTAATTTTAAGTAATATTTTTTTTTTTTATTAAAAAATTTAGAATTTTTTTTACAAGTATTAAATTATAAAAGTTAAATTGGCATGAAAAATTTGTTTTACTAATCAATGGCCAATAACAGTGGATATGCATTAAATTGTGACATGCATACATACATTTCTGAATCCAGTCCTGATAACAGAAGTACCTTTTGTTTTAGCTACTTAAAAATGTAATAAAAAATATATATAAAATAATTGTATTTGATAAAAACTTCTTTTAGTTACACAATAAATGTTTTTTCCATTCAGTTAAAGTGTATAGCTCCTTTTAATGAAAATTAATATAAAATTTAAGCTATATCAATTGGTAATGTATTTATGAAAATCATTAAATGTATTCTGCTTTAATAGAATATCTTTAGAAATGACCCAGCTAAATATTTCTTGATCCACCACTAATTATCAAATATCAGTGTAACTGATAAAACGTTAACCCTTAACTAGTCAGATAACATATTTGGGACAATTCTATTTATAAATATTAATGTATCCATAATAAAGAATAAATTTTTAGTTTACTTTATAATCAGTTTTAAAAAATTTTATTAATTTCTTTTTTCAGAATTTTTTTTTTTTTTTTAATAGAGTTGCATAGATGGCTGCTACCTTTTGCCCATATAATGCATTAAGGATTAAAATTGGCAAAACTAAAAATGGTTGAAATAACAAAACTAAAAAAAGATAAATAAATTAAAAAAAAAAAAAAACTTTCCTGTACTGTAAAAATAAAATTACATAATGAGGTAATTAAAAATCTGGGAAAAGATCAGTTTATATATTTATTTTTTAATTTCTGATTACTTTTACAATAATGCTTACATCATAATTTACTTTATTTATAAAGATGTATACATTTAATTCGAAAATGTATGCAAACTGTATTAATATGTGATATACTAAAAATTAAAACAAACCTAATTTTTGGATCCCTATTTCTTCTAGATCTTCCCAAGTCAATTCTGTTACTTTATCAATCGTATCATAACCTTGTTCGCATAAAGTTTCATAATATTCTTCAAGTCTCAGTAAATGAAGCCATTCCAGCAAGGAGTTCTAATAGAAATTATATTTTATTAAAATATGGTATCAAGCTATATAAAATAATTGATAATTTGATAATCCTTTTAAAATATTCTTACTGGTTTGTAATCTGGAATACCATCAGAAATATTCAGCCTAGCAATTTCTGCTTTTAATTTCCGTCTATGATTAGGCTTCGTAATACCAATTGCAGTCAAATCCTTGAAAAAAGATCAAAAGTAGAAATAAGTAATATACTACAAAGTAACAACTGAAATAAGTAATATACCAGAAAAGTTAATAAATATAAGAGAAAATTTACATTTTCAGTTTTAAGAGTATATCATGTAGACTCAAAAATATGTGTACAGTCAAAAGTCTTTAATCCGGACGTCCATAATTCGGAATGATCTATAATCCGGACCTGAAAGCTACAAACTTTCTGCACATGCATAAACGCATAATACCTTTACGCATGCGCATAATACCTTTACGCATGCACGTTTAATGTATAACGGATGGTATAAGCTAAACTAAAATGATCTAATCATCTTTTCAGGGTAATGTTGAAGATTGCATTGTTCCTTAATTTTCTAATTGGATCCGGCTTATTATTTTTTGCAGACTGTTACAGCAAATTTATAAAAGTAAGCTTGAACTTTCGATTATGTCAAAAAGAATTTCCGATTCTGGAGCTGCCAAAGGATCTACAAAGTGAAAGCATGTTTCGATGTCCATCAAACAAAAAATGGATAAAGGCATATCCTTTGTTTCTCTAACCATTCCGAAATCTGTTTTATCAATTTCACGCTGCTCTGCGGGGGGGGGGGGACGTCGCGGCGCGCAATGAACTGGAAGTTGATCTGTCAGCACTATCCTTATCTTCAGGGCAGATGTTTTTATTTTATTCGGCTTATAATTCCTTACTAAATGTAGTATTTCATCTCGATGTACTCCGTCTTTGATATGATTTAAATCAAATTCCTCGTCATTATAAATATCACGAATACACATCAAATAGTTTTCTGGTTGCAATTTTCTAATTTCGACTATGCGCAATGTATGCTTTACGCATGCGCGCGTTGAAAGAAATGTTTAATAAAGTAAACAAATAAATATATAAGCTTTTTTTGTAAATTTTGATACCCTTTAGATCATAATTGCTCTTTATTTCATAAATTACGGTTTCATATTTTTAATTTTATAATTTCTGCATGCCATCTTACCAGATTTAAACTGATGATCTATAATCCGGAAACACCAATAATTCGGAATCGCCGAAGTCCCGACTAGTTCGGATTAAAGACTTTTGACTGTATTATGAATTTACATAATTTAAAGTATAAAAGACTGATTTATATCCATTTCTCTCTCTCTCTCTCTCTATATATATATATGCATATAATTTGGCCTTTACAGCATATGCTATTTACAGTTCTTTATACAGCATATATTTATATAGCAAGTCTAATGAATCTAGCATTCTAATACATAAACAAATCTGATGTGGACACCACATAACTTCCTTGCACAGCCTATCAAATTATACACATTTTTTTGCTGCATTTCAATTAAACTCATTTCCTCAAATTCCAATACAGATATATTTCTCATTTAAGCAATTTAGTTCTCACTTGGCAGCATGGTAAAAATACATAAAAACTCAAAAACCTTTCATTAAAAATTGTAAAATACGGAAAAATTTAAAACACCAAATACAGTATAATAATATTTTTTAAAAAAAAGTTAAAACTAGAATTTCTACGCAAAAACAAGCAATTCGGCCAGCGGCCATGAGAACACAGGATTTTTCAGCGCACAAAACTTTTCAAGTATGTACAGAAAGTTCACTCTTGATCCCATTCTGCAAAAGACACTGAAGTTGGTGCACACACTGAATTAACTATTCTACTAAGAATTTCGGATGTAAGCAAATGGCGGCCTCGTTAGACTAAGTGCCACTTAAACAACTTTTAAACTGTTGATAATTCTACAGCTACTGCATGCAGATTAAGTAAAGGCATGAAAACTTTAATCGGAACATCAGAACAACATAATTCAATTACTTTTAAAGCAAAATATGAACAATTTACCAATGCATAAGAATAAAAAAACTCAGCTCACCGAGCTGGGTGATAATAGAGTAGGTATATATATTGATTTACATATTATATATATATATATATGTAATAATAAAATTCCATAGTCAAGAATACACTTAAAATTCTAACTGTATGTTCTTTTCATTTTTAATGGCGACGATCTCTTATTTGAAAGTACGTGGAATTAAATCCACAGCCCCCGTAGTCAACTTGTTTTTCCCGCCTTTTCTACACGTACAGTTATAGAATGTTCTGGAGATATTTAAAGCGAATTGGGATGGCTGACGAGGCTGACGTCATTTCTTGGAAGCTCCGCCTTTCCAGAGGATATAAAAGGACTCGCAAAGGAATATCGGGGTCTTTTTCTTTAATGTAACGATGCAGTAAACTTCATACAAAAAGTTATTAGTAATTCTTTTTATTTACTCCGGAAATATCATTTTTGTAACTGTTATTTCTCCTGACCAATAATAAATGGATCCTGTTTTTTAAACTTATCGTCTGATAATTTAAGCTACGACTACATCTATATTTCTTCACCAATCTATTTATTCCGGAAAAAAGCTGGTACATCATATACATATATTTATTTACATACGTTTGATGCGGCTGACTGCAACCAAAAAGAGAGCTGCACAGCTACAAGTTCTAGCAGTCCCCATATACAAAAGCGTTCTAAAATAATACGTTCTAAAAGCTATTCGTTTTTGAGTTACGCGAGATCCATACGTACGTACGTACAGACGCCACGAAGAACGTTTTAATTGAATTTAATTATTTAAAATGGATTCGCATTTTAAATCCATTTTACAATCCGTTTGGGAAAAAAGAGTATCCAGTACAGTCACAATATGACTGTATGTACAGATGTCATGCAAAAAGAGAGTGGTCAAAATGCATATTTTCGTTGAAATGTGACACCCAAATTTTTTTTGCGATAACAATACTTTCTTTATGTCGTACGAGGATTTAAAAATGTAAACACAACAGGCCGTTACATAGAATTCTTTTTAGAACAAGAAATTGAACATTGCTGTCATTCACAATTAATATTAATAAATATCGTCTGTGTTTATGTAACGCTAATGAGCTGATATTAAAATAAATAAATACTTAACAAGCAGGAGATTACGTATATACAGATTTATATTAACAACTTCTATAAAAGTATATGCACGAATTTTCCAGTCGCTTATTTTCTATAATGCTTATTAAAATATTTATAAACTTGAAAGATGAGAGGGAAAATATCTCAAACAAAGTAAGCAAGGAACTGAGTGATTTCCGAAGCTTTCAGGGGAAGAAATTTCCGCCAGTAAATCGTTCTGCCCGCAGAACTTCGGTCATTACTTCCGATCCTCGTCAACAACACTTTGCCATATGGGAGGCGCACAGTGATATATCGGATCGAGGAAAAGCCCTAATTTATGCGCGTACTCTTCCTCCTCTCCCAGCTAAATCGCCATTAGTGCCATGGTATTCCTTTTCCTCTATTAAAGAATGCATCCCAACAACGCCATTCCAACTGTCGTTTGGAGAGAGGTTGACAGATATGAGTCCGTTGCGCTTAGTGATATGGACGTGCTAAGAACAAATAACAGGTAATAACTATTTTTTAAACTACATTCCACGCTTCAAATGGATAAGATGTTGCTTCAAATAAAAAGTCCCTTCGCTTCTACTTCCGTTACATCATTCCTACATATTACAAGTATTAAAAATACTCAACGGCGTAATGGATTGTGGAGTTAATTACCGATTACATAAAACCGGCATTAAAAAAACTATACTTCTGAATACATATTTGAGAGCACTGTTTTATAAATCAATGTATAAAAAGAAACAAAGAAAAAATCTAGGATTTCTGATTATTTCAAGATATGGAACTCTCTTTTCGGTACGTGGGTAGTTTCGTAATAACACATTTATCGTAGACAACCTTTATTCATGCAAGTATGATGATAACGAGCAAGCTAAAAGCAAATACCAAAACCTCATCAAAAAACATCAGAGAACAAAACAGAAACCAAACTCTACCATAATTTAATAGCCACTGTTTTACTAACCAACTTGATGATAAATACGAAACAAGGATCAAGGCTACAGAATCAAGAGCTTCGCTATTATTTGCCTGAAAACTACAATTGCAGAAATACAATCTAATTCTGAAAAACTTGCCTAATAATTGTGTAAAACTAAGGACTATGTTTGCAACGTAAACCTTAAGAGAAATAGTTTGAATCAATTTCGATTTTTGACTTAACTAAAGAACTAAAGGAAAGCTATTTCGATTACGATAGTGTTGGTTCCAAAAACAGCTACAAATGCTAGTTGTAAAATGAAAAATTATTCATACAAGAGTATATCTAACTAACGACAAATAGCAGGAACTATATATATGCTAAAGCTACACCCATGATGAAACTTTGACTAAATGATGTAATGATGAAACTTTGAGTAAATGATGTAATGATGAAACTTTGCGTTTAAATGATTCTTGAGAATGATAAAACTGTCACTAAGATATTACCATAACACAAATGAATCCTTGTGAATTAATATTCCGATTCTTGATAGATGAAGCTTTCTTTCAGCTTTTTAATCACCAGCATAAGAAAACATAAGATTTGGATAGTTATTGCAATTTTTATCGTAGTTCCTAGCAGTTAGGACTGACGCAAACATAATTAAAACTTTAAAACAAATTCCATATAAAAAGCAAAGAGAAAGAGAGATAAAGAGCCTTAATTGCTGCTTGTTTATCTGTCGCAACATAAGGTACGGGGTTACGACATAATTCTCTCAATCTTATGAAATCTTGAACCATCTCACGAAAGATGTAGTCTGTAAAATATGAAAGGTCTGGCGTCTCAAATTCGTTACATAATTTAATTAAAAAAATTAATTTGCTAAAGTCTCTTTCGGTTTCCCGCACGAACATGAAAATTAGCATTTATCTTAATTTACTTTTATTTGGAAATCAAAAGCTTAATTTACTTTTTACATAGTTGACAGTTTCTCTTAGAAGACTAATAATAATGCATTTTTGCACCTTTTTATTTAGCCTTCTGCATCAGCTTCTGTTAAGTCTGAAAGGTAACAAGTTTAAAAAGTATGGA